TAGTTTACTCTGATGTGTGTGGTCCTATTGATGTGGAAACAATTGGAGGTAACAGATATTTTTTTACTTTTATTGATGATGTCTCATGAAAGGTTTGGGTGTTTGTGTTGAAAACAAAAGATCAAATTTTTCAATATTTTAAGTAATTTCATATCATGATGAAAAGAGAGAAATGAACTTCCTTAAAGTATCTTCGCAATGACAATGATAGTGAATACACTTCAAAGGAGTTTGAGAATTACTGCTTATAGCATGGAATTAGACATGAGAAGATAGTGTCTGGTACTCCTCAGCATAATAATGTAGCTGAAAGAACAAATAGAACCCCCCTTGAAAAAGTTATATATATATATTGAAAATGGCTAATTTACCAAAACCATTTTGGGGTGAGCACTCTATACTGTCTACTACGTGATGCTTTGATCTCCATCAACTCCTTTAGATTTTGATATTCCTCAAAGAGTATGGTCTGGAAAGGACATCAGTTATTCTCATTTGAAAGTATTTGGCTGCAAAGCATTTAGGCATGTACCTAAGGAACAAAGATAGAAGATTGATGACATGAAAGTTTTATGTGTTCTTCTGGATTATAGAGATACAGAATTTGGGTACAGATTATGAGATCCAGTAAAAAAGAAAGTCGTCAGGTCCAGAGATGTAATTTTTTATGAGCACAAGATCTTATCAGACTTTAAGACATCGGAGAAGATTATAAGTAAAGAAACTCCTTTTCATGCACTAATTTCTCCTTCAATAAGAGATGCCACAGATGAGGAAGAGTTACGTGATGATCAAGGGTTTGATAATATGTCAGCACCAGATGATGTTGAGCATGAGGAGCAACCCCTTGCATATCAGGTTACAGAAGAACCTCAACTTAGAAGATCGATTAGAACACATCATCCTTCTACCAGATATCCTAGTTCTGAGTATATTACAGTTATTGAAGAGGGGAGCCAAAAAGCTTTGAAGAAGTTTAAACCATCAAGAAAGACTCAATGGTTGAAAGTAATGAAAGAAAAGATAAGCTCTTAAAGAATAATAATACTCATGAGTTAGTTGAACTTTCAAAATGTGGAAAATCTTTAAAAAATAAGTGGATATACAAGCTTAAGATGGATGGTGAGAAGCTAGTGATGGAGATACATAAGACTTGATTGGTAGTAAAAAGTTTCAATCAGAAGAAAAGAATTGACTTTGATGAGATATTTTCTCCTGTTGTGAAGATGAGCTCTATTCAGGTAATTCTTAGTTTGATTGCTTGTTTAGATCTTGACCTAGAACAACTGGATGTAAAAACAGCATTCCTTCATGGTGACTTGGAATAAGAAATCTACATGCATCAACTAGAGGGATTTGAAGTCAAAAGGAAAGAACACATGGTTTGCAGGTTGAAAAAGAGTTTGTATGAATTGAAATAGGCTCCGAGATAGGGACACAAGAAATTTGATTCTTTCATGGTCAATCATGGCTACACAAGAATAGATGCAAATCATTATGTGTACTTCAAGACATTCTCATATGGTAAATTTGTCATTCTACTGTTTTATGTTGATGATATGTTGATAATAGGACAAGATACTTCAGAGATTAGTGGTTTGAAAAAAAAAATTGTTTTACTTTTTTTATATGAAATATTTGGGACTAGCACGATAGATTTTTGGTATGTAGATTACACGTGATAAGGAAACTAAAAAGTTATAGCTGTCACAAGAAAGATATGTTAAACATGTTCTAAACAGATTTTATATGAAAAATGCTAAGCCAGTTAGCACATCACTTGCTAACCACTTCACACTTAGTAAGAAATTATGTCTTGCTACTCAAAAAGAAAAAGAAGAAATGTCAGTCATTCCTTACTCCTTTGCAGTTGGGAGTTTAATGTATGTATGATTTGCACTCGACCAGATAATGCTCATGTTGTTGGTTTGGTAAGCAGATTTCTTTCTAACCCTAGTAAGAGTCATTAGGAAGTAGTAAAATGAATTTTTAGATGTATGAGAAGTACTTCTAATATGTGTTTGTGTTTTAGAGGTTCAGAACCAATTCTAGAGAGATATACAGATACAGATATGGCAGGTGATCGTGATAACAGAAAGTCTACTTTATGGTATGTGTTTACTTTTGCAGGGGGAGCTGTATCACGGCAATCTAAATTGTAAAAAAGTATTATCTTATCTATAACTGAGGCAGAGTATGTAGCTTTGACTAAAGTAGGTAAAGAAATGCTCTGGATGAAAAGATTTCTCGAAGAGTTGGGTTTAAAGCAATATGAGTATGTGATGAATTGTGATAGTTAAAGTACTCTAGATTTGAGTAAGAATATCATATATCATTATTGTACTAAGGAATATTGATATGAGATACCATTGGATACGAAATGCGGTGAATAATAAAGATATGCTATTGAAAAAGATTCACACTGATAAAAATCTAGTTGACATATTGACTAAGGTACTGACTCGTGACAAGCATTAGTCTTGCACCAAGAATGTGGGACTGATTGGACATTGAGCAATGTATGGTGGACGTCTCCTCATGGGTTGGAAGAGGAGATTGTTCATTATGTATCCAGCCTAAGTAATTAAAAAGAAAAGAAAAAATAGAATTAGGGCCGAAGTGTTTTTGGGGTATATATATATATGTGTTGCACACAAAAAAACATATTTAAAAGAGAAAGAGAAGAGAGGTTGTGCGGCAAGAGGATAAAAGGAAGTATATATATATATATATACACATACATATAGGTGGCTTCTATTTTATATATATACATATATATAGGTGGCTTCTATTCTCTCTCCCTTGTGACATAATCGTCGACATTTGCAATTTCGTCCTTCTTTAGGGAAGTTTAATTTTAATTTTTTTTTCTCCTTATTTTTTTTTCTCTCAGTTCTGCACAAAAAAAAATATTGTTCTTTTTATTTTAGATTTAATTTTTTATGTATTATCTTATAATAATTTTCTTTAATAGTTGATTTGATTTAGAACTTAATCTATAGTTTTTTCTTTCGCAATAAAAGGTTATTCACGTAAAATCTTATGTATATTTAATTTTACGATTATTATTTGCTTATTATTTTTCCTTTGTTATATATCAATTTAACTTAAAATTATGATTATTAGTTTCTATTAATTAATTTAGAATTGAATTAATTTATACAATTAATTTTATCTCTATTCAAAACTCAACAGTATATACACATAGTCCAAGTAAATGATCAACAGTTTCTTTAGACTCCTAACACATAAAGCATATATTTAAAGTCTTTAACTAGTTTCTGCTTCAAGTTTTTTAACTCTTGGCACATTATTTTCAATCCAAAGTTTCTTCTGATCAATAATAGAACCACAAGTTGAGGAAGCGACACAGGAGGCTAGTTGTTATTTCCAAGCCCTTATACAAATGGATTTAACCATGTACCATCCATTCTGCTCATACTTGTACGTAGGCATATTGGGTGCTAGCCTTTAATTTAAAGGTATTCAAACAATGTCCGGTGCTTTCTTAAAAAGATAGTTGGTGGATCAACTTGTTATTCCAACCAAGAACATTTTTCCTGTAGTACAGTAACCTTGTCCGCTGGTGTAAGCAATGGCCGAGGAAACGATATTTTGTTTCCAGTTTGATTTGGCAACCAATTTTCCTCCCAACTTTTTACTTTGCAGTCATTTCTATCCGCCGTTTCAACCAATCCCTCAGCAATTCTCTACCCACTAGGGAACTTAGCCGTGTATAACAAGGGCAATGTCCCAAAGAAAGTAGTTAGAAAATCTTCTTGTAGAATTTTAAAAACAAGTGAATACTGGTTTGCAGTTACCTGTCAAACTTGCTTAGCTAATATGGCCTTGTTAAAGCAAAAGAAATGACAAAAAACTATTATAAGGGGAAGCCCATCTTAGTAAACTTACTATTATGAAGGGTTAATTTTTAGATGATGTTGTATAGTTTTATCATCCATGTCTTCCCATAAGAGAGCTTGACAGAATGACATGATCCCCTTTTATAGTCTCTTTTCAGTCTGCATATTACTGACAGCTTTTATATGAAGTCTTACCCTTCACACAATATTTATCTAGAAATTTTGGAATATACGCGTCCCCATCCTTGCTTAACTTAAACTCTAGTTTCCTGGCAATCCAAATGTTGTCTTAGTAAACTGGATCCCATTACCACTATAGTTCAGCATGTATTGAATCCCTCAATCCACATCTTTATCATCATCGTTTTGCATTCAAATTCTATATTCTCTCTACTGTTTTATCCCGAAGTATGCTCTCTGTTCATTGCTCTGTTCTTTCTCCGTTCCAGACCATGCTGGGATGTCACAGTAGACTCCAGAAACTACACCTGCAAGTCCAGTGTGGCGCAACTAAGTTGGTGCAGAAACAGGTAATAAGGAATTTGGGTTTGACTTAGCTTACACTTCTTCTTTTTGGTGAATGTTCCTGCTATGTGCTTGCTTTTCATTTTAGCTACCAACTGCTTTTATTCATGATTTTTTATTATACCAATAGCTGATATATTCAATAGACAATAAGATGAAAGTACTATTTCCCACTGGACATATCCATTTTACATTTGTTCCTTTAAATGAAATAATCACATGGATTTGTTCAGTGTTGCCGACTTCTTTACCTGCCAATTTGAATTAATGTTGAATGATACTTGCTTCCAGTGAAGATCTCCTACATCAATGTAATGCATCAGTGAGTATCAACGACAAGTAATTCCGATATATAGTAGTGAGCAGAATAAGAATGTTTTATGCTGGCAGTAGATACCTTTCCTTGTACGTTTGAGAAGTTCACCACCTACAGAGACATAGTTCAATGCTTTTGACATGTTTGGTTCACTATCCTCTTCTTCCTTTTCTTTGACTAGATTAGAGGTTGTAATCCCATACACATTTTGCAGCCTTGACTTTAAGGTGGCAGCTCCTCCCAATGCTGAAATTAGTTTGTTTAATTAGGACTCGGCACTCACCATTTTCGATAGCATCTTTAGATAAAAAAAAAAAAAAGCTTTTAAGTTTCTGATCTTCTTAGTCAACTTTGGCCCTGCTGAACTATTCTAGTTTTTGTATCAAGACATGAGATTTGAATGTAAAGTAGGTATGATTAAAAAAGAGATTGCATCTATAATCTTCAGAGTTCTTCTATAACGAATTCAAGATTCATCCCTCCTATTCCTATAGAACTAGGCATAATTTGCTGAACTACGTATATTTTTCTCGTCATTTATTTTTCCTACTTCACTCTCTGTTCACTTAATTTACCTACTTGCATAACATTTGGATCGACAGAATTTATAACTGTTGCAAGTGCTCATTACCTGTTGTTGTTCCAGTTGTTAGGGTCATGATATCTCCACTAGTTCTTGCATTGATTGCAGAGTTGACAACTTTTAAGATCTGATGATGATCAGCTCCCATATCCTCTGCAATCTCAATGCAATGAGATGCTACAAGCGCTGTAGCAGATGCAATTGCAGTTGGCATTTTGGAAAGTGTCTTCTGGTGGGAAGCTGTCATTTCTGCTGACATTGCATTTGAGGCAGCAAGTGCTGCAACTGCTGCAGCAACCCCAGCCACAGATACAGCTGCAAGCAATTGGGCATTGTGAGCTCTCATCTCCTGCTTCTTCTTTTCCTTCTGATCCTTCAGAGATCTCCCCTTTGTTCTCCCTCCCAGTATGCTCCTGTAGAGCTGCAGAGCAGTAAGAAAGGAAACGATGCTGCAGCAGTTACAATACTGTTGAGAAACACAACAAAAGAATTACAACAAAATATATATTACAGAGAGGAAAAAGGAAATACACTCAGTGAAAGATATATTATAAAATAAAAAGTGAAGTAACAAAGGAATGAATTCATTTAATGCAGATAACTGTCTTATATAGGTATACAATCAATGTAAACAAAAGTTATGTTCATTTACTTTCTATCACTAATTTCTCCACCCCCAAAACATGTTTTCTTATTCTCCGCCATTAACTTATCTACTAACCAAGTCATGTTTTTTGCCACTAATTTTTCTATTAATCAGTCATGTTACCTTATTCTCTGTCACTAACTCATTCGCTAACGGTTCTTCAACAAATCTCTAAAAAATAGAAAACCAAAACCGAATGTTTAGAACTAGATAAAATAGTGAATGACTTATTAGATAATAAACTTGGTCAAATAAAGATTATGTGTTGGCTAGTGTTGTAACTTTAACAAATACTTGATGATTGAGATGAGGTTTTTGGACTTAGTTACCCCATTTTTGAGCAGTTGCTGATTGGGAAGGAGTTCTGGATTAAGTGCTTGATGTAGTAAAAGTAATTCCTGCCGGATTATACAGTTGATGGAATTAATAGTGATAATGTAATCAGAGTAATTATTATTTTATATTTACTGAGTGTTTTAATTTTAACTTAAGGAAGATACACATGCCAAAATAGAATTTTTTCCAATTAATGTTAGAACGAGGGAAATTCATGGATGGAAACAAAATAGAACAGGGGGAATTTACCTTCATTTCTTCACTATCCCTCAGAGAGATTGCATGGTTACTCCCAGTAGTTAACTGCTGAAGCAGCTGTAAAAGCGAAGCAACTATTTGTTATAATTGAATCTCTCTCTTGTTACTAACAAATTTTTCTATATGATCTTTGAATTAAGTAAAAATCAAGTATATATGGATCTTACAGATTCTCTTGAAGCCATGGAGCTGGCATCCCCTGCCCCAATGTCAAGGTTTTTGGGATCAGAAACGTGGGAATTTGAAAGAGCTTTAGAGAGCTCCACAGCTGAGAGGCTCCAAGATCTTGCAAGAAACTCCATGGGCTCAACTGGGGTTTCAGGTGCTGCACAAAACTCTGACTTACTCCAACTCGCAGGGCCATTTTCATCTATGTTCTCCAGCCTCTGCACTGTGCTCCTTGCATTGCATGAGCTCACTATCACAACAAGCAGCCAACAAAAGCAATTATTTTCTTTTTACTACTTTGGAAAATGAAGTTTAATTAATCATCATAATGAAGAGCTTACTGTTCCACTCAACTCCTACTTAATTTGGCCGAGCCAAGATTCTTCTATTTTTAGGGTTTTTCTGGTTGCAACAGAGAAAGTGGAATCAAAAGATCACCAAAGCTGAAGTGGGAAGAAGAAACAGTGAGTATTTAACAGAGGGTGATTTACATAGTTCTTTACTGGAAGAAGAATAATGTGAAGGGGATGAAAGAAAGAATGCATGTGGGTTGATTTACATATTTCTTTCATGCATAAAAGAGAAGGAAATGGGATTTCAGGAGCGGCGGGTTTCATGATTACAAGGTTTTTCTTCTGTCACCATTACCAGTTCATCATTCAACCTAATGATTAAAGTAGCAAATATTATATCCATTGGCTAATTTATCATAACCCAAAGTTCACTACCAGAAACTCAAATGTCCCACACGTGCCCCATAAAAATAACACTTTCATTAATTTTTGGAATGTATGGTACAACGATTCAGTGGAGAGGGATCTCATGATTCTCTCTTCTTTTATCAATTATGTTATATATGTCTGTGTCTATACATGTATATGTATTTTGTACACTGCTCAGATTCATTTTTATTGGATGGCTGATGGCGGTTATACTCTGTAGCTATGTTCTGGTTTTAATTTTAGAAAATGGCAAAGAGAAGGTTACTATCTTCAGTAAATTACTAATTAATTTTTAAATTTTGACAGTTGATATAATTTAAATTCTAATATTATTTTAGTTATAATTTAATTTCTAATGTCTTCAATTTATTTTAAACAAGCAAAAAATGAAATAATTAAATTATATTTAAATATTTAAAAAATAAATTTAATTAAATAAGTAAATTAATATATTAATAATAAAAAAAAATAAATCTAAAATTATTAATAATTTATTCATCTATTAATTTAATTAATTAGTTAAAGTTATTTTTTGAACTGTTTTTTAAAACATCAAAACATATTCTACATGTTTTAACATTTTTTTTTTTGCTAAAAAATAAAAATAAACTAAACATTCGAAATAAATAAAATTATAGACCAAATATAATAAAAATGTATATATTAGAGATCAAATCTAGAAACAACTATACACACATTTTCTTCATAAAAATATTCAAATGTCTGTGCACAAATCATCCTGCCACCAAGCCTGTTCATGCTTCAATCGAAACCATCATGCCTTGGAACTTGTGCATGCTTTGATCTTGGTTCACAAACCGTGAACTCGTGTGTGTATGTGTGTGTGTTTACGTATCTAATGAGCTTACTATAGACCAGGAGGCTTCAAAAATGGGACCAAACCCAAAACTGTTTCCACATCAACAGGGGCCTTGAGTGCACTTTTTACCAGCTCTGGTGTATTTGTCTTCCCTTTCCAAGTGGTTAACCATGGACCACCTCCAATTTCTACCGCAGCCATATCACTTGTAACATCCAAAATTACCTACATGTTCAACAGTTCATATGCTTAAATGGGTAATAACTATTTTATATTAAAACTATAATAGGACTAAAGACACATTAAAGATTTAAACCGAGAGATCTGCACGATCATATGAAACAATCAAGAGCAAGCTGAGAAACCAAAAGATAATGCTGCAAGTGGAGCTGAAGTCCATAAAGATAGAGTACATGCACTCCATATTTAAAATAGATATAACCGAGCAATAACAAGACCGAGGATACCGATAAGTGCTGAAATTGAAGTCATGAATGATTCTTGTGTAATAACTAGTTAATAGCCATTTCATTTGATGCAACAGTTCAATACTTAAGCAATTTAAACTTAACTTGCATTGAACGAATCATTAAAAAAATGACTTTTGCTTGGTACTTGAAAATATTTCCTGATTTTTGTGTTATAAAATAATTATCTGTTATTTATGAAAACATGCATGACAATTGAAAATAAACATGCAGTTTGGAAAATGATAATAAAAATATATGGAGTTCGAAAAAGAATTTTGAAAAGTTATTTTTAATATTTTTTAAGAATTACTATTATCTTCTTGTACACACATATCACCATATAAATTCTTTATGTATAAAACTACATGAATTTAGGAAAATAGAAACCAAAAAAAAATTCTTATAAAAAAATTGTTTCCTACTCCTATTTAAGATGAAATCTCCCTTGCTCATAGAACGTACCTTTCCCTTACTGCCATCCGATTTTCTTTCCCACATTTGCAGTCTCAACTCACCAAAGCAAGTATCTTTACAGGCTGGAGCAAGGCCAGCTTCAGAAGTTGGGGCACGCAATGGTGTACCGGGATCTGTTGTCCTTGCCTCCAGTTCAACCTGTCTCAAAACAGAAAATTCCATCAATTAATTTTAAAGAAAATACTTTAAAAAAACGGCTCAAAAAATATATGGTCAAACTCCTAAGTTGAGTAGACAATTTAATAAATTTCCCTTTTAAAAACTAAACTTTAATCCTAAACTAGGCTACTGCCTCAAGAAAGAAAACATAACTAAAAGATGCAAATTACCAGATGAGTCTCTTTTTCTGCAGTCATATGCCAAAAACCCCATGGAGCCATTTCGAAACTTAATTCCGCATTCCATGGCACAAACTCATAGAAACGACCACCATAATGGACTCCAATCTGTACCAGCCCATCCCAAAATATGAGAAAAGAGTGGCTAATTCGAGAGACTGAACTTATATAGGTGCGTATATCATTGTGTTAAACTATTTCTGATTTAGACACCTAACAATTATAGCTACTAACAAAGAAGATATTGAAGAGCACTGTTTAATGAAATCTCAAGGTAGAAAAAGAGGAGACTAGGAGGGGAAGAGAGACTTAAGGGAGAAATGAAGAAAACGTCAGAAAAGAATAGAGTTGAATTTTCACGAGAAATATGCTTCAAAGTCATTTCCAAAATAACATAATCATCATCTTCATTTTTGTATTACATCAAATATCCTAGATAGTAAAAATGGGTGGCAAAAAGAACCAATGGCAACTTGAGAACTAGTTAATTCCATAAAGAGTTACACCACTTTTGAACCAATCAAAAGTGAGACAAGTTGGCCACTAGGGAGTTGCCATAATCTATGGACCAATAAAAGATGACATAATTTAGCCAGTTGGCCTTGCCATCAAAAGTCTAGCACCTGAAAGGATCTATAAGACAAGAGATACAAGATGCTACTTCATCCAAAGAAGAAAAATAAACAAAAAGATATAACCAAAATAACCCCTAAACCTCGCTAATATGTCCTACATATTCTGTATAACAGAAAAAGAAAAACAAGAAAATGCTAAAATTACATAAATATTATAGAATTACATTTTACAAGGAAGTGACTCTTTCAGTTCTTTTGCTTCATCATTTTTGAAATGGTAACTATATTTAACCCTATATTTAGGGATTCGCTTAAAAAAACTTAGCAATACATCAACATTAAACATAAGTCAGGTAAAATATCTTCAATAGAGTAATCTGTATATATTAGAGTAAGAGAAGAATCCACACCAACGTAGCTGTTTAATATGGTAATCATACAGACAGCATAATGGTTAATTACTTAATTTTCACCATCCATAAACAAAAAGCTACTTCACAAATTCAGTTTCTCGCCATTAAACCCACATATGGGTCTCACATTTTCCTATCTTTGACCTTTAATTCCATCTTAACCACTTCCATAATCTATTTGCATCTCAAGAACATGAAATATTAGGAAAAAGCAGAGTGCAGAAATTGTTGTAAGGAGGTACCAGTGCAGCAGTTTCAAAGGTTTCATTCAGTCCAGGCAATTGCCTCAACCCACCAGCTGCAGTCAAAGCAACTTCCCCAGTTGCACCTTCAAAGACATTACATTGAACCTGTGATTTAAATAAATTAATAAAGAGCAGACACATTACAACCTGAAGATATTAAGTACATATGTAATAACACTATGATGTTACCAATCCTAAATGTTATAAAATTAAAATCTAACATATAGATGCTTATAATGCAGTCCCGGTCACAATTGGGCAAAGAGACATAACTGGTCATGGATTCATTACCAAGATCTTTATGTGCATACTTTTACCATTTGGTAAACAAACTCACACCGTAGAAAAGCAAGCATGGATAATGCAAATGATAAATTCTTAGTCATAGAAAGAGAAAGAGAAGCTAATACCCAAAACCATTTTCTAGGGAAGGCTCCACCCCAGTTCTTTTCTGAGTAAGATGGGGCATCTTTAAACTCAAACCTTTCATCACCCCACTCTATCCAACCTGCAATCAAAGTCTGCCTGAGTGAATACTGTCCTGAGTGCATGGAAAGTGTAAGAAACAGAATTCAAAGATTTTGTTCAAATCCAAGGACGGTATATGACATTTACCAATTCACATCCACATGCTCTACCCCAATATCATGATACAACTAAGTGCCTATAGACACAAATTATAGAGATTGAGTTGCATTTTGACTCAAATTTAGTTAGCTCCCCTTAGTTTTGAAACATATAGCTTCCAACTGTGTCTGACAGATTGTGTAGGATTATATTTCCAGCCTGTATCAGGCTTTACTTGGTTTAGGCCAATGTGTCGTCAAAAACACTGTTGTAACCTGGATGATAGAAAATAGTATCACCTCTTGCACCATTCAAGTAAAATTTGGTTCATAGAAGGTTATAGTAAAGGGTTCATTTCTATGCAAAACTTAAGATGCATATGTAATTAAAAAGCTACTATCTCATTGGTTGTAGCTCTCCCCACAAGGCAAACCACTACTTTAAAGTGTCACCAGCTACTTTGAGGTTTATCCCCTCAAGGTTCCCATGTAAAGAAACAAAAGAGAGATACGTAAAGCAATGTAGAAGCAAACTACCACTTTCCACAGCTATACTAATTATCCCTTCATCACAACCCTCCTATATCCAGTTTCATTGCCAATTTGGAAAGTGGGATATCTTGGAACCTATTCTTGTTGAAATTTTAAATGACTGGGAAACTATTTATTTAATTTCCTTGCTTCATCTACTTAAGCCTATCATCATTTCTTCTAGACCTTGCATGGGAGTTTGGTTTTTGAATTCGTTGGTATTTCCAATTGCAAGTCCTTACATTACCTATTTAACCCACAATCTTTCCAATAAGGACAGTGAAATTTATCAAAATTTTTTGGAATGTTCAGCTCCTACAAAGGTAAAGATTTTTGTCCTGACAGGTGTTCTTAACAGGATCAATACAAATTATGTCCTTCAAGTTCACAAGGCTAATCATACCTTTCCCTGCAGGTATTGAATACTAAGTCCCTTAGTCATCTCTTTTTTGCATTATAATGTGGCCTAGAGGCCCTAGGGTAGGATGTTTTAGTGTTTTATTGGATCTTTTTGTTGAGTTATGGCTCATATTAAAAAAAATTCAATGTTTACAAATAGGTCCCTCTAAAGGGGTGAGAATTCAACCACCACCAATAAGAAATGTCTTACCATAAAAGAAGGGCAAACCCTCAATGAGATCCATTGAAATGTCAGACTAAGCGCGTCCTGGCATCGCAAGCTAAAGTTTGTTTCATCTTTCGGCATTGGCACATGGGACGAGCACAAACAAATTCCTAGACTGGCCCTTTATGCCCTTTTCCAGTAAAAGTCACCTGTTACTCTCTTGCGGCTCTGTTGTTACCCTCAATGCACTATATTACAAGTAGCAAGCAAGATAACTAGAATTGAGGGGAGTAAAGAGAGGAATACTTGATTCTTGAAGAAGAGAATGTTCTCAGCGAAGAACAAGTGTTGAAAGCTCGCTCGACTAATCCTTGCCAATAAAATTTTCCAGTTCCAGTGGAAGAAAGTATTCTAATTGCCACATGGAGATGGCCATGAGTAAGCCTTGGTCTTCATGCTGTCATGAAAGCGAATCCACAACTTTCTTTTCACAGCATGCTCTGTATTCCACATAGAACTCATAGCCGATTAATTCGCTTATACCTGGACTAAAATGATTTGTGCTGACCACAAAAAACTTGCTCCCAGGATGGGCGCTAGGAGCAGACAACCTTAGCAAGGTCAATTAGCTCTTCTTGTCAGTCGGCAGTCCCTGAAGAAAAACAGTAAGGTGCAGCTGTAGGCCACCAGTTGGGGTAGATTATATGACCTGAGACATCAAATTTCACCAAGGAAAAATAACCAGGAAGGCCTAGACAGGGTGTTGGACTTAAGTGTTTCAGGTGTCCAATAATTATGGCGGCTTCTGCAACCCAAGCAAAAAAGGAAATTCTCAACATGGCTATCATGGACCTCCAATCACACCATGGACCCTAGGACTACTAGTGGACCCACAATTACACCATTGTCCCAGAAAACTTCCTTTAATACCCAATGACTGAGAAAACCCCTCAGTGTCTAACAAGTAGATGGTCTTGGCCAATTGTCTCTTCGTCCTTTTCAAATCCTCCACTGCAACCCTGTGCACTGAGATGATGTGCCATAGGTAAGAGACCTGTGGCTGAGCAAAGAGGCACTTGGATCTCTTGAGGAATAGTAGATGAGGAAAGAGCACTTGGATCTCTTGAGGAAGAAATGATCAGATTGTATTTTGGAAAAAAACAGTTAGTAAATGATAGAGATACCGAACAAAGATCAATTATAAATTAATGTCTCCAAAAAGCACGATATAAGACATATACTGGATGCCTAAGTTTATTAAGGACTAAAAAAGTGGTGGGGCATTAGTTAGCCCAGATGGCATTTACCAATAACTAGAAGCAGCTACATTGAGTCCAAAAGACAGACTTCTAATATCCCTCAGGTCTAATCGAATTTGAGGATTGGATCAAACGTGAAGAATTTTGCTCCATTTAGTTCTTCTAAGAGTTCATCAATAAAGGAGTACGGAATTGTTTCTTATCTTATTGGTGTTGAGAGCTTATCAATAAGAAGCCTCCTCTCGCTGCCTTCATCCTTCTTGTAAACTCTGAAAAAATCCAAGACAGACTAGAAGATCTGCTAATCCATGGGATCCAAACCACTTTCTTTACACATAATCAGAATTCCCAAAAGACACAGGAGTTGGCTTTGCTTTTAGTCCAAATCGGCTCCCTGCACAGACTATGATCACAAGTCATTCAACAGCTCTGTTTTCATTTCCTAGAGACACATCATCCTCAACTACATTCACAAGACATTTTGAATAACAGCTCTTTTGCCCAAATTATTAGCATCCTCACATCTCAAGAAATAATCCTAACATGACATAGACATAATGGAGACACTGGTTAGACCCTCACCACTGTTGTGCTCCTTCCTCACCTTATCATAAGTAATCAGAAAATCCAGTTTTCTTAATTTTTTTGACGTAATCCGTCTAGGTGTCCTCACTTGTGTCCTGATTGTCTGCAAATTTAAAAGCCAACTTGCGAGCTTCAATAACTTGACACTAGTAATGTCAGCTCCCAAAAGCTTCAGAACCTTATCAACCTTCTTCAGAAACCATTCTGACACCTCCAACTGGTTAGAACTCACCAGAGAAATAGAATGACAGCCTCTCCCTGCCCCTGATCATCCATCACCATAAACATCAATCACTGATTCAACCCTCAATTCCTTCCCAACAGGACCAGAAATAGTGTTTTCATATGTGTGTGTGTATGTATATATATATATATATATATATATATATATATATTTGAACTTCAGAAGAATTACCCTGAATACTAAAAAAACTGCCTTACACCCAAAGGAGTTGTACCATGTACCCAGTTCCTTGTTTTTTAAATAAAAAGTATAAATATATTAATAAAGCACCAAGGGGGTGCAGCCCATGTACAAAAGTATTACATATTTGTTAGGCAATCTATTATATACCCAAAATCATCCACCCTATACAAGTCATGCCCAATAATTAAGGAACAAAAAAAATGGAACCATCTATCCCTAATCTTTCCAATCTCGTTTTCAATCCCATCAAAAACCCTATGATTCCATGTACCCAGTTCTTTGGTGGGAATCTATTTGTGATCAGTACATTATCTTGATACGAGCCACAACTCAATAATCCTTGGGGTAAGGTTGAATTAAAGATATTGCTTTCACTATATTGCTGATCACCAATTGTATATATGGAATTTTATTTATGCCATTTCTCTTTTTCTATTTTCTTTTTTGTTTTAGAGGACCCCTCTTCTGGAAATTCTATCTAATAGGTTTTTTGTCTCCATGAAAAAAAGAGGCTTGCTAAAGTACCAGTTGAAAGTCCTCCAGCCATGCATATTTGCCAATGTGGTTCAAATACAGGAAAAGCAGCAAGCCAGCCAGCCGTAGACTTCTGCTTAGACCCCACATCACCCCATCCATAGATGGGACGGGTACTGTACTCCCACCGAGCAGATTTCATAGTTTCCACATAATTTGACCTGCAAATAGAAGTTAATCATTTCACAATACACTTACAGAAAATGTCAATATACAATCAATCAGATTAAATTTGAAATATTGTATAATTTTCTTCTGTTTTAATTGAAGAGTTTTGTGAATGGAGATTTTTGTGAAGGAATTCTCCCTTGTTTTTCTCTTATTAATTTCAGGCACCAAAGGGTGCCATTTATAGAGGAAAAATGATGCATCTTTTTAGGAATGTGAGGAAGGTGTGATAACAGATTTTTGTTGTTCACATGCCACCTCACCTTCTAGAAGAATGACACCTCACCAACTAGGAATATTCCACTCTGAACCTAATTTATTATAGCATTTTCTACACTCTCTCTCAATCTAGTTTACATATATATATTGAGTAAACTTAGATTGGATACAATATTATCAAATATTTGTTTTGGTAGTGCCTTCATTAGGATGTCAGCAACTTGTTGATTTGAAAGGATGTGCATAAGAGCTATGGTTCCATCTTCAATTTTTTTTTTATGAAATGTTGATCTATCTCGGCATGTTTGATCCTGTCATGGTATACTGGGTTTTTTACCATGCTGATTGTTAATTAATTGTCACACCACACTTTCATAGAAGTATCAGTAAATGTTATTAATTCTAGTAGTATTCTTCTCAACCACATCCGTTCACAAATTTCATGTACAAGTGCTCGAAATTCAGATTCTGCGCTGCTACGGGATACTACCGACTACTTCTTGCTGCGCCATGTGACCAGATTTCCCCACACGTATGTGCAATAACCAGAAGTGGATCTCCTGTCGGTTATTGATCCTGCCCAATCAGCATCATTAAAGACTTCAATATCCCTATTTATTTTCTTTTGGAAAATTAGCCCTTACCCCGATGTCCTTTTTAGGTACTTCAAAATTCTGTACATGACCTTCATATGTATTTCTGACGATTGATTCATGAATTGACTTACTGTACTGGCTGCAAAACTGATGCATGATCTTGTGTATGCCAAATATATTAGTTTCCCGACCAGCTTTTGATACCTCTCTTTGTCAACAGTCTTCTCACATTCTGTAGATCCCAATTTCATTGTTGAATCCATAGGTGTATCTGCAGGTTTACAACCAAGCATACATGTTTCCTTCAAAAGATCCAGGACATATTTCCGTTGTGATACGAAAATTTCTTTCATAAACTAGGCCATTTCCATACCTAGGAAGTACTTAAGAATTCCAATATCTTTAATTTCGAATTTCTTGGCTAGAAAATCTTTAAATCTTTGAATTTTCTCAATATGATCTCCTTTGAGGATAATATCATCTACATACACAATTAGAATTGATCTCTTACCTGAGATACAGTGTTTGACAAATAAAGTGTGATCTGATTGACACTGCTCATACCCAATATGTTTTACAGCCCTTGTAAATCTGTCAAATCAAGCTCTTGGGGATTGCTTGAGTCCATACAACGATTTCTTGAGTTTGCAAACCTTGTGAGATTGATCTTCTGCATCTAAACCTAGTGGGCTATCTATGTATACTTCTTCTTCTATATCACCAGTCAAAAATACATTTTTTACATCTAGCTGACAAAGGGGTCAATCAAGATTTGATGCAAGAGAGAGTAGTACCCGTATTGTGTTGTGCTTGGCGACTGGAGCAAAGGTCTCTTGATAGTCTATACCATAGGACTGAGTAAAACCCTTGGTCACAAGGCGTGCTTTGAGTCGATTTACACTCCCATCTGGGTTGTACTTGGTCGTGAATATCCATTTACATCCAACTGGTCATTTGCCTCGAGGTAACTGAGACAATTCCCATGTCCCATTTTTTTTAAGAACACTAATCTCTTCTTGAATAGTTGTACTCCACTCTGGTATTTGAAGAGTTTCATGGATTGTTTTCGGTTCTGGAGAACTGCTGTCTATTTTACTCACAAATGCTTGATGTTTCAGAGATAGATTGCCGAATGATACATAATCTTGTATGGGATATTTTGTGCATAATCTGGTACCTTTTCTCACAGCAATAGGTAAGTCAATATCAGTAGCAGAGTCAGTAACACGTACCTCATTACCTATTGATTCTTTAACCACTGGAGTGGGTACGGATTCATGGCAAGTTCTGGTTGGTTTCAGTACTTGTTCCCCATCGAACTATGTTCCTTCTAGTATAGACACATAGCTCATTTACTGCAAATAGTATACACTCAATTTCTGCTACAAGTTCTGGTTCCGAATTAGGCTCTAGAGGAGGTGAATTTTGTGGGTAGATGGAAGGGATACTAACATCCCACACTTGATATTCCTAAGTAGAATGCTCCCCCCGAATATCAATAGTGGGATAAAAAGGTTGATTCTCAAGAAAAGTGACATCTATTGTATTATAAAATTGTCATGTATCCGAAAAAAAACATTTGTATCCTTTTTGATTTGACGAGTATCCAACAAAGATACACTTAAGAGCTCTTGGGTCAAGTTTTCCCCGAAGATGTGAGTGGATATGAATGAAGGAAGATCACCCGAAAACTTTAAGTGGCAGTGAGTGTCAGATATGTGAATCAGGAAAGTTCTGAGAGAGAAGATCATAGGGTGTTTGAAAATGCAAAATACGGGAAGGCATTTGGTTTATCAGATAAGTCGCAGTGAATATTTTCTCTCCTCAAAGAAACTTAGGAACATGGGCAGTGAACATAATGGATCTGGTGACTTCAAGAATATGTCTGTTTTTTTGTTCGGCTATGCCATTTTACTGAGAAATGTATACATAAGAACTTTGGTGAATAATGTCATTTTCTTATAAGTATTTCCTAAGAGTGGTTTCAAAATATTCACAGGTATTATCAGTTTTAAGTACCTATATAGTGGTATGAAACTGGCTTTGGATCATAGCATTAAATTTTTTGAAAATGGCTCCTATTTCGGATTTTTCTTTCATTAAGAAGACCCAAGTGATTCTAGTGTCATCATCAATAAAGAATACAAACCACTTATTTTCGAATATATTGGTAACCCTGAAAGGTCCCCAAACATTACTGTGAATTAATGCAAACAGTTTGGAAGGCTTATATGGCAAACTTGCAAAAGAGTTTCGACTATGTTTAGAGATCTAACATACTTCATATTGAAACAAAAGTGGATTTTTATTCTTGAACAATAAAGAAAACATCTTTTGTAAATACAAAAAGTTTGGATGACCTAAGCGATAATGTCATAATATGATATCATGATCATTATTTGATTGACTATCAGGAACAGAGTTTGTACATACTGTCGTTTGAGCTTGTCTTCCAGAAGGGTCTGTTTGAAGGAGATACAAGCCTGAGTGCATCCTAGCAATGCCAATCGTCCTCCCCGATTTCAAGTCCTAAAATTCACACATTTTTGAACCAAACTTAGCAATACAATTTAAATTATCAAAAAGTTTGCTAACCGATAGTAAATTACAGTCCAATTTTTGTATATAAAGTACTGAATGAAGGGTCAACTGCGGTGTTAAAACAATAGAACCAGTTCCAGCCACTCTAGAGATTGACCAGTCTGCAATTTTAATTGTAAAATCCTCATCTGATGTTTTATAATTCTGAAATAGGGATATATTACCCGTCATATGGTCTAATGCTCCAGAATCAACCACCCATGTGTCCTGTTCTAAAGAACATGCTGTCAAACTAATTGTTGTTTTACCTTTTTGTGCCACCGAAGCATGCACGGGCTGAGTAGGTAAACAATTCTGCTTGAATAATTATTGAAGGACCTCCATTTGTGCAGCATTGAACGGACTGCTTTCTGCAACATTTTCTTCAACAGTGGAAGCAGCAATATTTCCTTGACAGTTTCCATTGCTTTCTGTCTTTCTATCTTATTCTCGCTGGGTTTCTCGTGCAAGTTCCAGCATTTCTCGTGGATATGGCCGAGTCTTCTGCAGTGATTACAGTACGGTCTTCTCTTCTTTCCACAGGAATCAGACTGTGTGGTGAGTGCAGAGGCACTTTCGGCAGAGGAGATAGGTTGAGTTTCTCTTATCATCACCCGCCTCCTGCCCTCTTCTCTCCGGATTTCCGCGAACACTTCTCGGATGCTAGGTAGTGGTTTCATTCCCAACACCCGTCCACGAACCTCATCCAGACTTTTGTTGAGCCCCATCAAGAATTTGAAGATTCTTTTCTACTCAACAAAGAGTCTGAATGTCCGAGTATCATTTGGACAACTCCATTGATGCTTCTCGAAGGTATCCAGTTGCTGCCAGTTTCGAGTTAGTAAATTAAAATACTGGGTAACAGAAAGCTCATCCTGACGCAGCTCATGGAGAGTCGACTCCACCTCGAAGACTGCAAAGACGTTATCTTTGCTGGAGTACGATTCGCGAGTCGCTTCCTAGATTTCCTTTGCTGTTTCATATAGCATGAAGTTCTCACAAATGTCGGGCACCATTGAATTAATAAGCCACGAAATTACCATGCTATTCTCTATTTTCTAGATGCGGAAACTTGGGTCGCTGGTTTCAGGAGGGATAGTTTCACTAGTGAGGTAATCGTTGCAGCCCTTGCAGCAAATAAACAGTAAGACAGAGGTTGACCATTGAAGGTAGTTCTGTCCGTTCAGTTTGTGCCCCGTGATGAACGATGATGCCTGCTCAACTAGGCTGTGGTTCGGAGTCGCGGGAAGGTAGGGACCCGAAGAGACTTCGAAAGGAGAAGAATTGAGCTCGCTTGTGGCCATTTGAATTATGGCTCAACTGAAGGAAGCTCTCATATCAGAGCTCTGATACCATGAAGAGTTTTGTGAATGGAGATTTTTGTGAAGGAATTCTCCCTTGTTTTTCTCTTATTAATTTCAGGCACCAAAGGATGCCATTTATAGAAGAAAAATGAGGCATCTTTTCAGGAATGTGAGGAAGGTGTGATAACAGATTTCTGTTGTTATCATGCCATCTCACCTTTTAGAAGAATGACACCTCACCTACTAGGAATATTCCACTCTGAACCTAATTTATTACAGCATTTTCTACACTAATGTTTATTGAACTGAGAAACCAAAACAATCACAAACTAGATCATTAACTGAGACAAGCAAGATTAAAACAGAACAATATATGACGATATTCTAATTTTGAAAATTGAACAAACAAGAAGGGAAATTAAGAAACAAATAGGCTTGGCATTTGACTACTTATGTTCCTGATAGTTCTTAAACATCATAGAACCTTGAAAAGTGAAATGTTGGACACCCCTAATACTTACCTGTATGGCTTTATAGGCTTCCAGTCAAACTCTCAAGCTAACCATATGACCCTAGAGGATGTATACGTCTGTGTGTGAGTGTGTGTGTGTGTGTGTGTGTGTGTGTGTGTGTGTGTGTGTCTTAGGAACATTTATGGCAAAATAACACCTTGAGTGTATTAAAGAAAGAAAAAGGCAAAGCAGGAAAAGAAAATGATGTAATATGCAGGTGTTGTTTTATGTGGCTGTGTAGTGTGCAGGTACTATTTTATGTGGCTGTTTGGAAGTGGTTGTTATGTATTTGGTGTTGTAATCAGGTGTGTGTAGTATAAGGAAAAATCAGTGAGCAAAAGCGTGTAACTTTTATTATATAGGAATTGTGTTGTGGGTGTTTAGTAAGAGAAAATAAGGGAGAAAAACAGAGGGCAGTTGGCCAAATTAACTCTGAAGTAGCTACCCAAATTAACTGCTTCTCATGTGCTGGATTTTGTGTGTACTAAATAAGACATTTAAGTGAGTATTCATATAATAGCATGGTAGGATAATAGAAGAAAAATAGAAAGAATTTGCAGCAGTAACTGCTCTGGGAATAACCACCAGAACAACTGCTTCTCATCCCTATTGTGTAAAAGCCACTTGCTATTCCGGAAATAGAGGAATGCAGAAAAATTTGTCAAAAAAGTTTCGTAAGTGCTTTATCTTTAAGGGATCACTGAGTTCTCTATTAACGAGTCCATACTATTAACAGAATCTCATAACAAGATCCATAAATCGGGACCATAACAGTGTATGTATGTATTTGCGTGTGAGAAATAATAATTATTCAATTACATATGCTTTTTAACCATATTATCAACTATTCATCACGTATCTATATAATTGCATGTGTTGCATAAGAAGAACTCATCGTTTATGCTTTTAGACCAACTTATCGCATAAGAAGAACACAATGTATGCACTTATTAACCAACTTCTCTATTACAAATGCCTCTTTTATTAAAATCATAACCACAAATTAAGAACAGGAAGTTACCTGCCATCATCACGAATAAAACCTTGATGCCAAAGTGGGGTCACTTGAAAACCTTCCGAAACTCGTTTGTTAAACTCCTAAGTAAAAACAAGGGCAATAAGGATGAAATTTTGTTGGACAAGCAGATCATAGAGATTCAATACAACAGTTGTTCAAGTGGACTTTTAAGCATCAAAAAGCTGTCCAGCAGTTGAGTGGAAAATTTTCAAGTACATGGCAGAGGAAATCAAATAAAAAGCAAGCAAAGTTGATCATTCTCAGAATAAAAAATACACATCTATATGCATTTTACATTCTCAATTTTTACAAGAAAAATATTATGAGATACAAATTTTACAATGAGAAGATTAAGATATGAACCTGTGGAGAAACTTCCTTATTCGGAGGCCGTGAGCCTTCCACGGCTGTAAAAGTATTGCCTAGAATGAGTTCATGCCTACCTATTCATGGATGAAATGTAAGTCAGAATGGAGGGCAGGTGAACTTACACATCAAGCATTGAATGATAGTAAAAGAGACAAAGAACAAATAACAAACAAAGAAGAAATTTTTCATGAGCAGTTTAGAGCAAACTACAAACTCGTGTTATTTCATTTTAAAATTGATTATCTTACGACATTATGTTGAGTCCAGAAGTTCCTGGATAAATCCTGGCAGCAATATGAACTGCTGGATAAGGGAAGCAAGATTAAAATGGTTTACCAAACAAGATGAAGTGATATACATCCTATGTTGACTAAAGATCCTGCACAGGTCCTTCATGGAGAAGCAAAAAAAAAAAAAAAGAAGCTAAGGTATCAATAAGATCTAACAAACAGCACCAAACTGGATATCCTAATGATTCAAACCCAATGAACACAACAATTATTTGCATTGATAATAATTGACTCAAAATTGACCACAAAATATTGTTTCTCGAAAGATAAAAATAAGAAAAAATTGTTGCAATAAGAAACCATTTTAATTCATAAATTCAAGAAAGACAACTGCCTTATTCCAGCCTCTTAAGGTTATCTTAAAAACCAGGTTCAGCTAGATCCAAGTTCCAAAGCTTAGTCAAAAGAGAAGGACAAGAAAAAGTGTGTTGACATAGAGAAACTTCTCCATTTGGTAAACTAAAATATCTCATAGTTTTCATTTCTGGAATTACATACGACTACATAAGCAACACAAAAGTACATAGAAGAAAGGATGACTAACTTCCAGATGCCAGAAGATGTCAATAGGAACCAAAACAGGAGGAAACAAATTGACTGTGACGCTCAGTAGACAAATACATGAAGTGTTGTTTAGCGAAGCCTTGGAGTTTCCAAAAACGAGGTTAATGAGGTGGAAAGAAAATTGGACAACCCCAACAAGACTGCCACGATTAGTGCAGAAATTTTTGTGGAGATTCATTAGGAAATGAGGTCAAGCTCCTCAATAATGACCCCTATTACTTTGAGTACAATGGAGAATTTCCATTTTCTGTCAACCCTAAGGGCGAGCCAATCTCCTTAAAATTTAAATTGCATCAAACAAACCATTACAATGAGACAGATGATCCTGTGAATCATCTTAACGATTTGTCAAATGCTATATAATTTCAAGGAGCACCAGAGGCGATGTTATTTAGAGGTCATGTTACACCAAAGAAGGGGGAAAAGGAGTAGTTTCAAAAACTCAGATCAAGATTAATGCATTGCTTCAGAAACTTGGCAGATACATTCCTTGTACATTTCATCAATAACAAGAGGCCTAAAAAGTTAGTGTAACTCTTTTCGGAAACTAATAAAGAAGTGACAACACCTAACGCAATCATATCACTCTGTGCTGGAAGGAGGTATATTTTGTGGGTAAGCTAGATGAGGAAGCGGCAATTGCAGCTCTCAAAAACATGTGAATGCACCCTTAGAAAACACATACTTATATCCGTACACCTACATAGATTAATATATACGCTGTTTTTGTACTTACAGAAACATATATAGACGTAACTATACACGCATAGATATATTACAAACTTAAAAAAAAAATATGTAGGATATAATATATTTGCTAGCAATACGTGCACATGCATATACATACATATATGTTATATGCATACAAATCCACACATATGTACATAAATATGTCATATATGAGAGCCGAAAATGAAAAGCTCAAAGATAATTCGTAGAACAGTCTTACTTCCCCAGAAATTCTGAGACTCTTCAGTGTATTGGCATATATACTTGTCGTAAGCACCGAGAATTTGAGCCCCAACACCTGTGAATCTAGGACCATGCTGTGCCACTTCGAGGGGTGATAATTTCTTCCTGAATGCAGGATTCTCCACAGAATACATAAAGCAAAA